GTGTGTATTGACAACTTCAAGCAGAGCTGCGCATATCATTGGATTCGGGAGATCGTGGAGAACACGATAGGCGATAGCAAGTAGACTATTGCCGACTAAGGCGTTTACGATCCTAAGACATATGACCACCCCATATCCCATACCCATATGACCGTCTCATACCCCACATCCATAAGACCACTTTGTACCCACAAAACCCTCACATGCTCTTGCCCATGCCTATGCCAATGCCCATGCCCATGCCATGCCATGCCCATGCCCCATGCCCATGTCCATGCCCATGCCCCATGCCCATGCCCCATGTCCATGCCATGACCGTGCCCCATGTCCATGCCCCATGCCCACGCCCCATGCCCATGTCCATGCCCATGCCCCATGCCCATGCCCCATGTCCATGCCATGCCCGTGCCCCATGCCCGTTGCCCCATGCCCATGCCCCATGTCCGTGCCCCATGTCCGTGCCCCATGTCCGTGCCCCATGTCCACTGGCAGCTTGCCGCCCCTCTATGCCCTTCCTCCTTGCTCTTCTTCCGTCCTTTTCCCAAACCCAAACACCTCCCTCCCTCCCGGGGTGGACGATGCAGGGGAAGGGGGTGGATGGTGGAGGGGAAGGGGGTGGATGGTGGAGGGGAAAGAAGTGTGATGGTGGAGGAGGGGGGCGAAGTGGTGGGTGACAATGTTTCGATTCTCTTCGGTGGTTGGGATGCTGCTGTTAACGCTCTGAGCTAGGCGGCTGCTGCTGCTGCTGCTGCTGATGCTGATGGTGAGGGTGGGCGGTGCTGATGGTGGCGGTGCTGCTGATGGTGCTGGTGGTGCTGCTGCTGATGGTGCTGGTGGTGCTGCTGCTAATGGTGCTGGTGGTGCTGCTGCTGATGGTGCTGGTGGTGCTGCTGCTGATGGTGCTGGTGGTGCTGCTGCTGATGGTGCTGGTGGTGCTGCTGCTGATGGTGCTGGTGGTGGTGCTGCTGATGGTGCTGGTGGTGCTGCTGCTGATGGTGCTGGTGGTGCTGCTGCTGATGGTGCTGGTGGTGTTGCTGCTGATGGTGCTGGTGGTGGTGCTGCTGATGGTGCTGGTGGCGGTGCTGTTGATGGTGCTGGTGGCGGTGCTGCTGATGGTGCTGGTGGCGGTGCTGCTGATGGTGCTGGTGGTGGTGCTGCTGATGGTGCTGGTGTTGCTGCTGCTGATGGTGCTGGTGGTGGTGCTGCTGATGGTACTGGTGGTGGTGCTGCTGATGGTGCTGGTGGTGGTGCTGCTGATGGTGCTGGTGGTGGTGCTGGTGGTGATGAAGAGTGTGCTGGTGGCTCTGGTACCACACCACACCACACCACACCAAACCACACCACACCACAGCACCGAGTACCTTAGCGCCAAGTAACCAAAGTGCACTGCGACTGCTGCCCATCAACACAGGAATGACTCGCCTGCACCTCCTTGGGCCGCAACTAGTAGCGGAGCGAAACAGTGGTAATGCGCTACACTGTTGGGGACCTGGTGATTGGATCTCTTGGCTTCTCTCAAGTTTTCCAACATTTCTTTCTGTTGCTCGTCTGTCACATGATTCATGTGCTTCTGCCCGCTTTCCTTGCCCAGCCCCCCCATCTCTCAAATCCCCTCACTTAAATCTCTGTTTTCTTCCCCGAGCCCCTCTCAAAATCTGACCTTTTATGCTCTTCTTCTTGGTTTGGTCATATATATACATATATGTATATATATATTGTTTCTAATGTCACCACTGTTTCAATCTTTCGCTTTGTCCATGCCATGCCGCTGCATGCCACTCCATATCATCGTCTTCTTCACAGAACTCTTGAAGCACTTCTTGTATTCAGGACCAGAAATGTGGATGTACTTCAATACATGATTCCCTGCCACCACTTATTCACCATCCCATGGCATGGCATGGCGTGGCGTGGCGTGGCATGGTGTGGTTTGGCGTGTCATCTAATTACCAGTGGAATGGCATGGGATCAGATGACCCATGGCATGGCATGGCATCACATGACCCATGGCATGGCATGGCATCACATGACCCATGGCATGGCATGGCATCGCATGGGAGGCAGCAGGGGCATGCATCTTAAACCCCCCACATGCAGCCACGCCTGCCCAGTATGAGCCAGCAGACACGGGTGATGAGGTGCTTGGCCCAAAGCAAGAGTAAAACCACCGTGCGGCGTTGGGGACATGTGATGCCAGCTGCTCGTTCACTTGGTCCACATGGTCCGCCGTGCTCCTCGAGCCTTGAGTCAACACCACCGTCACTCACCCGCTCAACAACCCATCAGCTCTGCTGCTTGCAATCACCCCCTCGATCATCATCCCAGGAGCCAATCCGGATTTAGGGTTTAAGGTTTAGGGTGAGGGCCAATGGTGGAGAGGTTTCACTAGGTACTGGCGCCCTGGTTGCTAGAGTTGAGTGGCTATTAGCAGTGCATGACAGAAAGAGTCGAGAGGAAAGGAAGTGGGTTGTTGTGGAGGTGCATGGTGCGATGCACTAGAGTGCCGAGGTAAGTTATGGAGCACTTGCGAGAGGTGAGACAGGAAGACAGGAGGAGGCAATCGAATGGGTCAAGAAATGTCGGCACTGGTGTTGTTGCTGGCAGAGGTCAGACGAGTGTCACTCTCATGTGCGCTCTCAGTCGGAATGGTTGACTCTTGTATGTCTTACTTGCATGCCGTGTCCCTCCTGTCGTACTTGAGTGATTCTTTCCGCCTTGCTTGCGTGTTGAAGCTTTGCTGCTGAGTTGGACGATGAGCTCCATTGGTGGTGCGGCCTCAGCTGTCATTGCTGCTTCTCTCATGAACTCTAAATCTCCTTCAACATCTTTCCATCAACCTGCTGGCTTGCGCTACAGGTTATTCTCATGTACCCAGAGAACGACTATGGAGAGATGCATTGCATGGAGAAGAATGGTCATTAACTGACTGTCTAACACCACATCACAACCAACCTGGTATACGTCAAAATGCACATTATAAGGTGACTCAGAATTTGACATATCAAAACACATCATAAGGTGACTCAGAATATGACATATCAAAACACGTCATAAGGTGACTTAGAATATGACATATCAAGACATGTCATAAGGTGACTCAGAATATGACATATCAAAACACATCATAAGGTGACTCAGAATATGACATATCAAAACACATCATAAGGTGACTCAGAATATGACATATCAAAACACATCATAAGGTGACTCAGAATATGACATATCAAAACACGTCATAAGGTGACTCAGAATATGACATATCAAAACACATCATAAGGTGACTCAGAATATGACATATGAAAACACATCATAAGGTGACTCAGAATATGACATGTCAAAACACATCATAAAGTGACTCAGAATATGTCATATGACTCGAAATATGTCAGAGCAGAACACATCATAAGGTGAGTCAGAATATGTCAGATCAAGACACATCACATCATCTTCTGATTTAGAAAGACTCTCGGATTACAGTGCAGTGCACCATGGGCACACTCAAGGCCTATTGCAGCACTAGGTTCTGTGCTCCGACTGTGCACCCACCTGCACCCGTTGCTCACCTCCTCACATTGCGCACCTGACCCCATATGCCATCCAGCTTCCTACCAGGGGTCACCTTCATCTCACCACCACATGAGCCCCCTATCTTTCCTATGAACTCAAACTTCTCTCCTATGATTCTGAGCTTCAGATTTCAAAACACGTGGTCAACGCAGCTCGGCTCATCGCGAAACTGCTTGCCATGTTCCGCTCCCCCTCTCGTTCCTCCGCCATGCCTGCATGGTGCATCAGGTGGGGCCTGCGCCCAGGAAGACCAGCCCACTTCGCCTACTCCATGCCCACTGCCAACTCACCCTTCGCCTCCTCCATGCCCACTGCCAACTCATCCTTTGCCTCCTCCATGCCCACTGCCAACTCACCCTTCGCCTCCTCCATGCCCACTGCCAACTCACCTTCACCAACTCGCAAGCCAGGAACTACCAGCGACGAAGAACAAGAGTTCATTACAGGGGTATGATAGGAAAGAGACTCAAGACTCCTGTTATACAATTCTCAGTCTTTCTTAGTCTCTGGCAGATCCTACGCACTTCATCTCAGCCCAACATGTTGTGAGGGCTTTTTAGACCATTGCTTACAAAGCTTGAACAAAACCTCTTTCATTTCAGTAGCTCATCAACGATAACTATATACTTGTTCGTACCTACTAGAGTAACCGATAGGTACTTGACTATAAACGTGATACTGCAGTCGATTCACTGTTGGACACTACTTGGTAAAGGCCAACAGCGCACATATAGCCCATTAGGTCATCCAAGGTACAGGTAATTTATCTAGTGTATTATATTTATTGACTTTCATTACTATAAGCATGCCCGTTGCTTTCCGTGCACCCTGCTTGGCACGATTCAGTGAGTTGATCGATCATAACTTTATGCCAAGCGTCTCAGGCAAGTAGAAGCAAGCCAGGGCAGGCAGCAGCAGCAACGATGGCGGCAAGCATCAGCAGTGCAGCCCAGACGTGGGCGTGGAGAGCAAAGTGGCCGAGGAAGTAGAGGCGGTGCGTGGTGGGGTCCCCCAAGTATCCCCGCGCTATCATGGCTTGGCAAGCAGGTGGAAATGGGGACAGGTGGCAGAGGGCGTGGGGGAGAGCGAAGGGAGGAAGTGAGGAAGGAAATGTGGAGAGAATCAGGAAGTCAACTGTGGAGACAATGAGGCAAGCGGTGAAGGCAGGGTGGACGCCACAAGTGGAGGCGTGCAGTGGCCCTTTGTGGCGTGCATGGGCAGTACCCCATGATTCTCTCTTGCTGCTGTTGCTCTACACAACGCTGTACTCTAACTTGGTGTGAGAAAATCCGATGGCCAAGATGGGAGGGCGCGGTGGAGAGAGGGAGAGTGAGGGAGAGTGAGGGAGCACACCTGTGAGATCTGGTCGGTGTGCATGAAGAGGTTCTGGCTAGCGATAACACCACTGCCACGCACGCACCGCGCATCAGCGCATGGGTGGGCAGCGCATTGGAGAGGGGAGTGCATCAGTGGGGAACACATGGTGGAAAAACTCGTGGGGGGGGGGAGTGCATGGGGGGGAAAGCATGGGGGGGGGGGAAATGCATGAGGGGGGGGGGCGCAAGGGGGGAACACATATGGGGGAAAAACGCATGGGAGGGAGACGCATGGGCATAGAACGCGTGGAGAAAGCGCATGGGTGGGGAGCGCATCAAGGAAGTGCATGGGTAGGGAGCGCATGGGGGGAGCGCATGGGGGGAGTGCATGGGGGGAGCGCATGGGGGAAGCACATGGGTGGGGAGTGCATGGGGGGAGCGCATGGAGGGAGCGCATGGGGGGAGCGCGTGGGTGGGGCGCATGGGTGGGACGCATGGGTGGGGCGCATGGGTGGGGCGCATAGGGGGGGCGCATGGGTGGGGCGCATGGGTGGGGCGCATGGGTGGGGCGCATGGGTGGGGCGCATGGGTGGGGCGCATGGGTGGGGCGCATGGGTGGGGCGCATGGGTGGGGCGCATGGGTGGGGGGCGCACGGGTGAGGTGGGTAACGAGTCCATGGAATCATATTAAATCAAGCACGTAACAGGGAGGGGAGAGGATGGAGCGAGGAGAAGAAGGTAGAGGAGAAATTGTGCAGAGAAATAGCAAGGACGGCAAATGAGAGGCAAGCGGGCAATGGGTTGGGAAAGGGCAGGAGAAGTAGAGGAAGAGGGTGTGGGGTGGGTGGATAGAGGCAGCAGAATGACACCATTATGCACGTTGATCAGTGTACGCCCTACTGCCACCACACATCATCTCCCACACGTAGCACAGGCACGAGAGCGGTGGAGCACTGACGGTCAAGTGTGGCGAGGGGCAGCAGCCTTATCAAGTGGATAGCCTCCACGCCCACTCCCACCGCCTTCAAAGGCGCCATGCCCCACCGCAGAGCCCATGGCCTCGGGGCTCATTGTGATTAGACTCACTGCTGCTGCATGCAGCTGTGAAAGGAATGAACAGGAATGAATTGACTAAGTCAGAGTTGGGTACAAATACAACCCTAGCAAACTGTACCCCATATGTGCTACCCCACTATGGCCTACAAACATGCATGAGCTATAATAATCTGACACACCCCCATAGGCAAAGTGGGGGAGAACAAGGGGTCACAAGACCAGTCAAGCAAAGCAAAGCAAGCTCAGGGTGGATCACAAAGTCACCACACAGTCCGAGCACAAGAGCAAGGCCAGAGGCCAGTTCACATGCAGGAGTACAGACATATATATAAAACTAGACAAGCAAGAGCAGGTATATATATGTCAAAGTACAAGTAAAGTCAAGAAGAGAGCAAGTGAGGCAAGACAGGTACAAGACCCAGCTGGGTACAAAAGCGCTGATGGTCGCAAGGCGCAAGTGCCTTGGTGAACACATCAGCAGTGTTGGCCTCAGAGGCCACGTAAGCAAGTCGCAACTGACCACGCTGCTGCAGCTCACGAGCAAGGAAGTAGCGGAGAGCAATGTGCTTCGTTCTGTGCTCCAAGCGCTGCTCTCGACACAAGGCCAACATGGCCTTGTTGTCTACGTACAGCACTGGAGGAGAACGAGGCAGCTCTCCAAGGTCAGTCAGCAGGTAGGTGAGCCAGCGAAGCTCCTGTGCAGCCATGGCCCCGGCGTAGATCTCAGCCTCACAACTGGAGCCGAGAACCGAAGACGAGCGAGTAGACCGCCACGAGACAGAGCCGGAACCAAGGCTGAAGGTGTAACCCTGTGACGACCGCTGCGTAGCCTGGTCGTCAGCCCAAGAAGCGTCTGCGTGCCCAGTAAGGACCACTGGACTCCGCCCTCCAAGCACTAGCCCCATGCCCGACGTACTACACAGGTAGCGCAATACCCTCTTCGCTGCAGCCATGTGCTCTGGTCGGTGTCTCCCAGGAGCAACATAGCGTGCAAGGATGCTCAGAGGGTATGCAAGGTCAGGTCGTGTGCAGGTCATCAGGTACATGAGGCAGCCAACAAGCTCTGCATACGGACCACTCGACTCTACGGACTCATCCGAAGGCAGAGCTGAGAGTGAGTGGCGAGTAGGCAGAGGAGTGGCCTGAGGCGAGGAGTACGTGAAGCCGAAGCGCTGAAGGACCTGCTGCACCATGTGTGACTGAGTCAGGGTAATGGTGCGGCGTGCTCTGTCCCGAGTGATCTGCAAGCCAAGGTAGCTGCGCAGTTCACCCAGGTCTGTGCACGTGTGTCTCTTCAGCAGCTCGGACTTCACGTAGGCGAGTCCAGCAGTGTCCGCTGTGGCAAAGACCAAGTCGTCGACGTACACGAGGATGTAGAACGGCGGCAGGGAAGTGTCGGTGCGAAGAAACAGCGACGGGTCAGCAGTAGAAGGAGCAAACCCAAGAGCCGCAAGCGTAGTCCTCAGTGTGTCGTGCCACTCACGCGGTGCCTGGCGGAGACCGTAGACTGGCCGTCGGAGGCTCCACTGGGTGCCAGGAGGGAAAGTCCCAGTAAAGCCAGGCGGACGGCGCAGCCAGATCTCCTCGTGCAGGCTACCCTGCAGGAACGCAGTGCTGAAGTCGAGAGAGTGAAGCTCGTAGTCGCGCTGAGCGGCAATGTGCAGCAGCACCCGAAGAGTGGTCATCTTCGGGGTGGGAGAGAAGGTCTGAAAGTAGTCAACTCCCTGCCGCTGACTGAAGCCACGAGCCACGTAACGCGCCTTGAAGACAGGCGGCGAGCCCGGCGGCCGCTTCACCCTGAAGATCCACATGCCACTGACGATGTTCGCCCCAGGAGGGGGAACCGCGTCAACGTAGGTGCCTGTGGACTTCCAGGAAGCCATCTCTGCATCCATAGCTGCCTGCCACTGAGAGGAGTAGGGACCCTCTACGGCCTCCGCGTAAGAACGCGGAGTCGGGATGTCTAGTGCATCCGGGTCTCCCTCAGGGGCTAGCAGTACAGACGCGAGACGAGGTGAAGCAGCGGCTAGACACTGGAACTCCTCCTGCCTGTCCTCTAGGACGTCCGTGCCAAGGGCACACTCACCCCCGACGGACGGAGGACAGGCGGACTCTGACTCAGCGACAAGACGAGCAGCGTAGTCTAGACGACAGCGCGCAGCAAAGTCGACAAGCTCAGTGACAAGGGCAGACGCAGCAGACGACTCGAAGGAAGGGTCAGTGACAGCAGTAGCAAGGAGACGCGTGACAGTAGGACTGGCAGCACGAAGAGAGTCCGACTCCGGGTCGGCAAGAGCAGGAAGAGAGGAAGCAGGCGGAGAAGGCAAAGGGGCACGCAGAGGAGCAGTGGACGGACGCAGTGACATCCGGTGCGTGCCAGGGACAGGAGGAGGACGCTGACGCGACCCGCGACCACTAGCGCGCTCAGTACGAACAGGCGACGCAGGACGAGACGCAGGCTCACGACGCTCAGTAAGGCCTCCAGTCGGACCAGCGTAGGGAGAAGGAGCAGGCAAAGGGGAGGCAGGCTGTAGCTGTGGCTGTGACCGGACAGGCTGCGGACCCTCTAAGGGAGGAGGAGGAGGAGCAAGACCAAGAACCTGCTCCAGGAGCGGAACGAAGTACGATCGAGACCGCGCGGCGACGCCAGAAACAGCAGGAACAGAACCAGCAGCTCCGGCCGGAGCACCCACTCCAGCAGCACCTCCAGCAGAACCACCAGAAGCCCCAGAACCTCCAGCAGCAGCACCAGGAGCACCGTCAGTCGGACCACCAACCGCAGGCTCAGCGCCAACGTCCTCAGCAGGACCAGCTCCAGGAGAACCCTCAGACCCAGCAGCTCCAGCACCCACAGGACGAGCACCGCCAGGTCGCGTGGCAGCAGCGCCCTCCGCAGCCGAAGAACCACCAGCACCAGCGGCACGCCTCCAGCGCCGGGCAAACCACTCACGCAGCTCCTGTGGAGAGAGCGGCTCCCGGCGAGACGAAGCACCCCCAGGCACAGCACCTCCAGGCTCGGCACCTCCAGGCTCAGCACCCCCAGGCTCAGCACCCCCAGGCTCAGTACCCCCAGGCACAGCACCCCCAGGCTCAGCACCCCCAGGCACAACACCCCCAAGCTCAGCACCCCCAGGCCCAGCACCCCCAGACTCCGCACCCCCAGGCTCAGCACCCCCAGGCTCAGCACCCCGAGACTCCGCACCCCCAGGCTCAGCTCCCGCAGCAGCACCGGAGTCACCAGTGACCTCGACAGGCTCGACCGCGTCTACCTGAGACACACCTGAAGGGGCAGGACCCTGAGGGGGGAGGGGGACTACTGGGGGGGGACCTGGTACCAAGAAGAGCGGGGGTGGGGGGAGGGACGGAGTGCGGTAGGGGAAGAGGCGGTAGTAGGGTACCGACTCGTCGAACGTGACGTCCTGGGAGGACAGAACACGTCGAGAGGTGGGGTGGTAAAACTGCCACCCAGGGGCGTCGGGGGGGAACCCCAGGAAGACGCAGGGAGAAGCACGAGGGGACAGCTTGTCCGCAGACAGGTCGCGAACAAACGCCCGAGATCCCATTCTGCTGTGGTGAGTCCGGAAGCGTGAAGGTCTGACGGATGCCTCGCACACGACAGTAGGCACTCAGGAGGGCAGAGGAGAACTCTCCGCCTCTGTCCGAGTGCAGACGCAAGACAGGGAAGTCAGAGCCAAAGCTGCTCCGAAGCTGAAGACGAGCTGCGCGGATCCAGTCGATCAACACCTGAGTGACCTCACCCTTGCTGCGCAAGGGGAAGACTGTGGTGTAACGCGAGTAGTCGTCAACCACCAGCAGGAAGTAGCGCTCCTGACCCTGTCCACGGACGCGGGCTGGGCCCCACACGTCCATGTGAAGCGTCTGCAACGGGGCCTCTGTCGGAGGAAACTGGGAGGAGTGAGGGGCAGCACGCTGGCGCCCCTCGACACAGGGGACACAGGCAGGGCCAGGGCCCGGAGGAAGGGGAGGGAGGGACCGGGGAAGACCAGACACAAGGACCCGCGAGGCCATGCCTCTGAGCCGAAGCAGAGAGGGGTGGCCAAGGCGGTGGTGCCAGAGGAGGGTCTCGTGAGACAGACGACGACACGAACAAGGGGCAGACTCAGGACCAGACCTGGACGCTGCAGCAAACACCTGACCAGACGAAGGGGCCCTACCAGACGCAGTACCTGGAGGAGAAGCAGTGGTCAGTGTGTACAGGCTCGACCCCGGCCGACGTGTAAACGTAGCCAGGTGGCGACCTGTATCCGCCTCCGTACAGTGGGTCACCCGCTGACGAGCAGGGGTGAACTGGTGGACACCTGCATCCTGGAGGTCAGCACCACTCACCAAGTTCGTCGAGAACGAGGGGAGGTAGAGACCAGTCAGGGTGCCAGAGGGGGCCGCCGGACACGGGAGGACAGTGGAGAAGCGAGACAGGACAGGCCCCCCAGAGGGGTCCGCCAGGGACACCGCAACAGGCCGACTCAGCGGCGTGAGAGTGGTGCGGTCCCTAAAGAAGGAGCGAGACGCTCCAGAGTCAAGGGTGAAGGTGTGAGAGGCCGAAGCCGACACAGTACCTGAGAGGGCGGACTCACCAGTACCTGAAAGCACAGACGCACTGGCACCTAGAGCAGCAGCCTCACTAGTACCTGACGCGGCAGTACCAATGCCCGGGTCGGGCGGGAAACACCGGTAACAGTCATCCTCATCACTACCAGTCACAGCATACATAGCAGAGAGAATAGCATCAAAATCAAGATCATAAATAGCTACACCAGCCCTAGACAGCTCTCCCCAGCGGGGGATCTCAGCGGCCTCCGGAAACTGCTGACGCCAGGCGTCGGTCAGGCGGCCAAAGCAGCGACGGGCTGTGTGGGCGCCTCCACACCTCTCCCCTGCACGGTCACCAGTGCGAAGAACGTAGGGGCAGGGACCAAGCGCACCTCCGCGCTGACGCTGCAAGTACCACTCACGGAGCTGCTGAGGGCCGGGGACGGTGCGAGAGCGCTGCTGCTGCTGC